CGGCCGAGTAGTATTTTCACAACTCCCTCATGGCCATTCCCAGCAGCACAACAAAGTGGTGTTTGGCCTTCATCATCTCGTTTTTCTGGGTCGACGTCGTCCCGCCCAAGTAATATCTCCACCACTCCCTCGTGCCCATTACGAGCAGCCCACACGAGGGGTGTATTTCCCAAAAAGTCTTCCTGGTTGATATCACAATGTGGCGCCTCTACTAAACCAGCTACAATCTCAACAATCCCGAAGGCGGATGCACAGTGCAAGCCACTAAACAAGGAATGTTGGTCCAAATCAACATTCCACCAGTACCATCTCTGTGTGAGCAAGAAGAGTTTAATGGATATGTGGTTGCAGTAGTCGTCAAATAACCTGAGCGCAAGAAATTTCGCACAATCCGAAAGGTCCCTTTTTGCTTGCAATCCCCAATATAGAGAGGAATATTCAAGAAAGGGCATGCCTTGGAGATCGGGAGTGGGACTGGTCGAAAGAGCCTTAACCTGCTGCGAGTTCAGATAACTTAGGCAGGTTTCCGCCATTGTCGAATGAACGGCACCAAAAAGCTCAGGATGAGCACGGAGGTACTCTTGAAGAGTAAAGTGAATTAACCGGACAGTTGAAGCCTCCTTATCTACGGCAATGAGTCCTTGACAGCAGGTTAGTAATACCCCTATTGAAGGAACACTATCGCCATCGAGATTCGGCGACCCTATTTCAACTGCCAGAGCGTGAAGTAGTTCATCGGGGTTCAAGGGCCGCTCCAAGTAGGAGATCCACATCAACGCCGCCATTCCGAGCCGAGATTTCTCCCCACCTTGTCCTTTTATCCGATCCAGTGCTGCACCATACACATCCCCTAACCTCAAGCCATCGGCGATTGAGTTGAGCTTTTGCCTCCTTCGACGGATTGTGGGTTCTTGCAGGATCGCGTCGACATTCAGTGAGACCAGCAGGAATCTAGATAATTGTCAGTGGATGAGTTGACCCAGCTTTCCCAGTATCGTTAATTCAACATACATTTCAGAAATATCTTCAGGAATTCTCTTCAGGATATCTGCCTTCAGACTACTATCTATCGCATCCGGGTTTGTGTCCTCGTCGAACCTCGAATGAATATATCTAACGATATCCTCTCTCTTGGGACTTATGGATACACTCGCTATCATTCCGGGGAGTCGCCCTCCGACCTCAGGCCGAATGTGCGATCTTCCGGTCACAAATATTCGAGTTCCTGGAGATCTTTGGAGTATTTGAGAGAGCGAGTCGAGAAGCTTGGTTCGATATCCTGCCCCACATTCATCTAGTGCGTCGATGCATATGAATGTCCGCTTTTTGGAACAGGTGGCCTGTAACATCTTCACAACGTCAGAAAGTCCTGGCTCCCGCCCACCAATGGCATTTTTCTGGTCTTGGTAGGCTCGCAATATCTCCTCTGGGGTCTCCTCCAGTCCGCCGACCAACTGCTTCAATAGAGCGCGCAGCATGTTTGTAGACGATTGCTCCTTTTGGACTGCAAAGTCGAAATAAAAACATGCAACGGTTGCATTTTGTCCTCTAGCCTGATCACACAAGCTGTCTATAACCAATGAGCTGAAATCGCAGTTTGTCAGCACTTGTCATTTTTTCTTCCATTCCTCCCGTTTCGTCCTTGTTACCAAATATATGTTTTGCCAACCCCCGGATCTCCAAAGCAAAACAAAACCGCGTTATCGGATTTACTTCCCCCATTACCCGCATACCAGCTCCTATATTCCTCGGTCTGTAAGAGCCATTCCCCTACATTTTCGACTCGTCGATCTCGGATGTCCTGGTGCCGGAATCTGGGATCTAGGGGCGATAGCCAGGCCAGGATATTAGATTGGTCGTTAGCAACATTAAAGTTGTTTGACACGTTAAACGTGTTCAAAGAATTGATATTATTACTAAAAGACAGACGAGACATTTTCTGTGTTTTGCTGAGGATATTAGGGATGATGGGTGATGAATGATGGAGGCAGTCGACAACTAGAGTTCCGGGGGCTGAAGAAAAGCGGGGTCTTTTGTGTAACCTCATGAACCCCACGGGACACTCCCATTACGGTAATCTCCTCCAAATCTGTGCTAACAACGCCCCCCTTGTGCCAACCGCATCTATCCTGTGGTATAATACGATGTGGTCTTCTTGCCCCCGCAACAACCAGTCATCTCTTGGCCTCTTGGCGATTTCCTTACTTGCTTCACTATCGCAAACTGGGAGATCAGGATATCTCCAAGCTATGGTTTCATTAATTTATTCGAAACCCTCTGCCCCTTACTCGAGTACTGGCAAAGCCTTTCTTCCACTGGTGGGAGGAAATCTTTCTTCCCCTCTTACTGGGGGTGAAATTTTTCACCCACACGGACTTGATATTGGAGGAGGCAGATCATATTAAGAAGGACTGGATCATGTAGCGAGAAATGATATGCGAACTTGAACTTCCTCTCTCTGCCCAAGCGAACTATCCAACCAAAATATTCAAATATTTCTATCTACCAAATTACACAATTTCCTCCGCTCCGCTCTGCCTGTTTTATCACATACGATACAGCTCAAATACTGCCTTCAGATGGACAAGCGCCCGAAGTGCGGCATCCTGGAATGTTGCCACATGCACCGGAATGCCCCGTCATTCTAATGTCTGAGGAGTAAATTGGTCAAACCAAATGCCTCCGACGGGTGACCCCCTTGTAAGTAGTACTCGAGTACTGCATTTTTTCAAAGAGCCGTTGGGTGTGCTCAGGGCTAGCCGTTGATCAAAGCCTAAGATAATTCCAAGATCCAAGATTTATGATAATAATATTATTATCATACCACCTAATCCACGAGCTGAGATAGCAGACTAAATCTCTGGTGAGATCCGAAAGAAACTAGCTTATCTCCCACACCCTTAGCATACTGTGCCTCGAAACTCAAACCAAAACTTCTACGACTGGTATAGCGCGTGCGGAGGGAGAAAAACTAGAAAAGCTCTAATCCAGTCTATTCGCCCGCGCTTCTACAATTAAACTATCACTACTGGTACTCTTTCCCGGTTGTATACAACACCGTCACAAGAAGTCACTCGTCTCTAAGACTCAGTAGTGTTCGAACAGTAAGTCTACACCCCCCCTCCTCACATTTCCACCTCCCGACATAAATCTACAAACGCTAATCTACCTACTCTCATCCCTGATCCCCTGGCGCCTACGCATAAACCGGTGGGAGGAAAGACAGAGTAGGACTTCTTCCGGCGTAGGGGGTGGCACTGTACACAGTATGGATGCTCTCTTGTGATATCTCATGGAAAGATTTGCGTCAAGAAACGTCGTGTCACAGACAATACCATAATGTATACTTTGTAGACTGTCGAGCAAATCAAGGCGCGCAACAAAAGTGGCCCGCTCGCCCAGAGAGTATGCAGTTCTGAACACAAGGTATGAGGATGGATCTCTACAAAATATCTACCACATGGCATCTATAATACCAGTACTTTTATAGCGCTAACACTTGAACACCCGCGCTCTTCCGAGACGCAAAGAGTGGGCAATTTCTCAGGAGACTGCGGAAGAGTGCAAGATACCTGCTCCCGGCAGTGTACCCTACAGCTACAATTCGCGATACTATATCAATTGTTTAAAGGACACCAACCCGGGTATTATTCGAGCAATAATGTCCTCAAAGATGGCAAGGTTTCCCCTTCTAGTTGGGGAGATTATATGTTCCGCGACGCCGGACCTCAGCCTCGGACAGAGTTACCTGGGAAGCAAAAGATTTGTGATGGACAACAAGAGACTGGGAGAGGACGGGATATCTCTCGGAGCTCGCCTGCAAGACGATATTACATGGCTCTGTGGCCCGCTGGATCACTGTTATCAAGTTGGGATAACACCGCATAAGCACGAAATCCTCGCTACTCAAAGGATGGAGGTAGAGAATTTGAGCAGCACACTAGTCACAAAAACCAACAGAGAATATGGTACAGCTATTGTCGAGCCCCGAGCAGAGAAGCAACCCCAGAAGTGTATCCGGGAGACCAGACCGAGTGTGGGAAGAGCGGAGAAAATATACTAGGATACGCCGAGCGCTACTCTCCAGAGTCATACGCCATAAGTTACTAGCGGTCTGCACCTAAGGCCATGCGTAAAGTCTTCGTGCCGATTTTCAGAGTTGATAGGTAATTCATGAAATGGGAATTGATTTCATGATTAAAACACCAGTCACTATATAAATGTTTCTTGGTGAGCAAGAGTAAAAAGGTGAAGATAGCGACGTGTTGAAGAAACCAGCTTGGGTCCAGCGCCAGCCGAGAACCGCAACCATCTGGGTTAGTCGGCAGTGCAATTGCTGACTATCGAGACCCGTTGGTATCGACAGGATCTAAATTAGAGAGAACTCACAGAAACACAAATCGCCGGTCGGGCAAAAGCGCGAGTGAAGGATATATGCTTGTATAGTTTGGTGACATGTGATATCCAGTCGTGAACTTTCCACCAATGATGATTTTTCGCAGGTTCACGACGCAGCCGGAAGTCATCCGATCACAACTATTTCTCCGCTCACTGAAAATTTTGGCTTTCGTCGTGCGGGGATTTGGGGGAAATACTTGCGGTCTTGGAGGCTGTGTGAACTTCCTGCGATCGGAGATTTTCGAGACGGGCAGCTTTTTATCATACATCAGCTGCCATATGAACCCCAGACTCTCAACTTGGGTTTTCCACGCTCTTCTGTACAAGTCATTCCATACCAGGTGATTCCCAAGCGCATCAATGGGGCGAGTAGTTGCACATTGATCCCTAGATTTCCGGCCACTTGAAGGTGTAATTTGGCGGAAATTTATGAGGGGTTAACACAGTGGACCCGGATTGCTCGTGCTCGTTACTCGTTTTTTTCTTTCCTCCCCTGCTGTTTTGGTGTGACTCTGCCGTGTCGCGGGGAGGCACAATGGGTGGTTAACTAACGGCGAGCATGTCCAAGAACTATAAAAGTAACAACGCTCAGAACCCCGTCATCATAGAATGTCACTCGATACTCTATCTCCTCCCACTTTTCCGACATACGTGCAATCTTACATCCGCAACCACACCCATAACCTCCAACACACGCAAAAAGGGAGAGCTTGTCTTCGCTCCTCCCTATTTCCCGATCTAAAAATAAACAAAAATGAAAGGTATCCCTCTCCCTGGTCCGCCAATCTACAAAACTAACTTCCCAGGATCTATCTCCAAAAAGCCCTTCACTTTCTCCAAGAATAATTTTCCCCGCTCTTCCTCTTCCACACCCTTGACTGTGAGACTGATCACATTAGGGCCCGTAGCCACAATGCCCAGCGTTCGCTTGACGGCAGGGGTGGTGGCGGGTGCGGCACCGGTTAGCATGTCTAGGATGTCTGCGCCTCTGGCAGGGGAGTACGGGGGAGGTGGAGGTGAGGCGGTAATTTTCGGCTGGAATTTAGCCGGTCGGGAAGAGGTCGTGGAAGGGAGGTTAAGGAGTTCGTCGAGGATGTCAGATGCGGACGACATAGGTGGGAGGGAGTGGTTTGCTCTTGTAGTCGCTTTGCTGATGAAGGTGGAGAGGGGCATGTGAAGGCCGAGGACTGCTGTGGGGCGTATCAATATATATATATATATATTTGCGGAATGAGGAAGGGTGGGAATTACCTTGGAGCTTATCCTGAACCTTAAGGACTTCGCCAAATGATACCTCTAGCTTCAATTCCTTTTCTTCATCAACGACCGGCCCCTTCTCTACTACTTGTTTGGCGCTCTCTCCCACATCCTTCTTCGGAGGTGCAATTTTGATATTACTCAAGTCTAACTTCTCTAACTTGTGGATCCGTCCTTCAAGATCCTTTAGGTAAGCCTTATTAGCCCTGCCCAGGTAAGCCAATATATCCCCCTTTAGCAACCGCCCTTTCGGCCCCGTAGATGCGATTGCAGAAACATCACCTTCGGAAATCTTGTGCTCCCTAATTAAGTGAGCAACGCTAGGTGAGGGGGTATGCGCCTTGCTGGTCCCAGTAGTGCTCGGAGCGCCCTCATCTGAGCTCTCTACGACACTTGGTCTATCCTCCCCCCTAGGAGACCTGGTATTCCCCTTGGGGTTCTCGTTGATCTTTTTTTCTTCCCTCGCCAAAGTGCTGGCACGACTCCCGGTGTCATTGTTCTCCGGTGGCATTTCCAAATTCGCGAGATCGTCACCTGGCTCCGCCAGCACTGCAATTCGAGAACCAACTTGAACCGCTTTATTACCGGCCTTGACCATTATCCTTGCGAGGATACCGTTGTCCAGGGCTTCGACGTCCATTTGAGCTTTGTCGGTCTCGATCTCTAGCAAGACGTCCCCAGCGGAGAAGGTGTCGCCTTCTCTTAGCTCCCAACGGCTAATTGTGCCTTCGGTCATTGTAGGGCTTAGAGCTGGCATGAGAAGGTTTGAGGCTACATTCCGGCGAACGGTTGTTGTGAGGCCTAGTTATGTCGATTGGTTGGTTGTTAGCCATGGGTTGATAATATTTGTAGGCTGGACGGTGGGAGGGGGATGGTAGCGGGGAATACCTCGTCTAAAAACATGTAGTCGTAACTGTAGTGGGAGGTGGGAGGATAGACGGCAGATTGATGATGCCATGTGAAGACTGTAGGAGGGAGGGAGGGAGGGAGTGGTTGTTTATATGGGATGGAAAGGAGATGGAGGATGTTTCGTGGAAGTTGGGATCGAAAGATCAGACTACGGGTTTTCCCAACGAAATCCCGCGAAAAGCACGGACCAGGGTGAACACTAACACGTGACTGACTACCGTAACCGGCTCCGATCCCAGCACAAAATCTCTAGCGATAACCCCACTGAATGATAATTTTGATCAAGGGAATTAACTTGAGTCTTTAGGATCTCTCATTATACTAGGCGCTACAGAATAGGGCAAATGCATAAATGATAGTGCCCACATATATTAATAGTGCGCTGGGCTAGAGCATCGCTTCCGACCCCAATCTGCGCAAACCCTCATGTGTTTATATTTGCACGGGATTCCTCGCCTTGAAGATTCTATCCAATCCTCTCCTCTCCCATACCCACCCATCCTTATGAATCCTATAACTTCCCATCCCTTCTACCTTCACCAAGATAAATCCGCTCGTAGAAATACCATTCACCGCTCTTGCGAAGACCTTTGCCGGGCTCAACTTACTCCAGACCTTCTGCCACCTTGTATGTCTTTCCTCGACAACAACAGGTTTCGCTGCGGGTCTTATGGCTGGGTGAATAGGTTCCCCCAGAGTTACCATGTTAGGGGAAGCCACGTGGAGTTTCTTCACAGGAAGTGTGGGTAGGATTGGACGGCGGTGGAGGGTCAGCGATACGCTCGCTGGCCGAGTGACGGTCGCTGGTATGGGGTGGGCGTAGATGACCTGTATTAACCTATGATTCCCTCATCCATTATTGATGTTCCCAAGAGTTGGAGGGGGGATTGAGTTACCGGGTGGGGTAAAATGCCACAGCCACAGCCATCACGGTCATGAGAGTGATGCTCCCCCAGCTAACTTTAGTCACCCAAACGGGTAACCCCGGTCTTGAATTTTCAATGTTTGTGTGGTAGGTGTAGTACGACCACGCCAGCATGGCGCTCGAGAGGCCGTAGCAGCTCAGGAGAAACTTGCGGTTGTGATGTGCGTAAAGGAGGATCGCCGGACGATCGGAGTTGCCCAGGGATTCTGTAAGGGAAAGGTATTTGCCAGTCTGGGGTAGCTGGGACGTGGTTCTTATGATCTTTTCTGGGGCTCGCTTCTTCCGTTTTTTGGCGTTGGTACTGGCATTAAGGATGAGCGAGGGGTACCGTGTGAGGATGCGGGGGGTGCTTAAGTGGAGGAGTGGCCTTGGGAGGAGAAATCGGGGTATCGGAGGCATTATCTATGAATCGGCGGGTAATGGAGGGGCGAGGCGGAAATAGCCTCTATAGATATCGCAATACCGAGCAGTGGGGACTTTCATGAAGCTCAAAAAGTTTAGACCAACGACACTGAGGCTATTCTCAAAACACTCTTATTTGCCCCTGCGGATTTCACAGTACGCTAGCGCGAATGTGCCAAGCCGCTCAATTGACGTCTGGTTATTTAACCGCTGGTCGCGTCTCTCAGTTCTCTTAGGATGAGGGATGAGTTGGTAGGGCTTCTTTCGAACGCCTCATCCGCGAACCACACCTTCGGGGAAGCCACAAACTACGAACCAACCAACGAACCTAGACTAACCATGTCCGTGTCCAACCTTCTCAACATTCGTCCCTCCAGACCATCAACATCAGCCACTCCCTCCTCCTCATCCATAATAATGTCGGACCGAACCTCACACATCGCTATACCAGCCTACGAAAAGCCGTTGCTACCTCTCACGGCCAAGGAGATACAGAGCCTCACCGCACTAATTAATACACGCTCTGGTATCGCTAAGGTCTCGGATACTATCGCGTCTGCTATCACCGTCCTGGGGAATGCAACTCTTGAGTTATACCCTGACCCCGAGGAGGAGAATGAGGGAAAAGAAAAGGCTATGACGGATATGGAGAGGCTCGCTCGGGAGTTGGTGGATGAGAACAAGCGTGCGCTGGATATGAAGGAGACTTTGGAGTCTATTGTCGACGCGCAGAGGCAAGCTTTAATGAGGGGAGATGAACCGCGGGAATCCAGTGAGGAACAGGGTTTGTCTGGTCAATACGAGAGTATACTTGTAGCGAAGAAGAGACATTGGGACGCTATGAGTAATACAGAAAAGTATGTATTATCTCCTACCCCTAAATTTCTATTCTATTATATACTCACTATGTCCACAGATACACAACCTCCCCAGAATACCTCGACTTCCGCCGCTCGCACTGGGAAGCTCGTAACCCAGAAGTGCCCTTACCACCAACAAGAACCTGGTTCTCTTCCGGCGCCTCTGGCGCTCAGGACGATGAATCCGACATCGAAATTGCCCAGGAAAGACAAAGCTACAAATGTCCTCTCACTCTCCGTCCGTTTGAGGATCCTGTTAGGTCGACCGTTTGCCCTCACGCTTTCGAAAAGGGAGCTATCGAAGACATGATCAAACGTTCCCGCCTCAACGGTGTGCCCTGTCCGACGCCTGGTTGTACGAAAATGCTCACCCTGAGAGTGTTGAAGAGGGATTCGGTCTTGAAAAGGAAAGTCGCTCGCGCACTAGCGTTGGAGAAGAGGAACCGGCAGATGCAGGAAGACGAGAGCGAAGAGGAGGAGGAAGAAGCTAGCGGGGAGGAGGAAGCACAACCCGGCCCTTCCTCAAGGAGAGGAAAGAGTAAGGCTGAGCTTAGGAAGATCAAGATTGAGAAGGGGGCAAAGAAGTTCAAAGGAAGTAAGAAGCCTGTCGCAGTAAGTAGCGAGGAAGAAGACGAAGAGGTTGATGCAGATGCTATGGACGAGGAGGAAGACTGATAATCCTTCCACATCCTTCTCCATTTTTCACGTTTGTGTCAAGCTACTAGACTGTCGTATTCTCAATGCCCTTTAAATATAATTAGCGATAATTACGGCTTTCACTTTTGTTGTGTTATTGCATCGATAGTGAGTAACCGATTTGTCAGCAATCAGAAATAATAAACGCCTTGCCGATCTCAAGAGTTTGAAAAACTGGTCCTTCCCAGATGTGCACTAGTCATGTCTCACATCAGATGATGTGAACAGATGGGCAGATCGGTACTCGAGTAACCTTTTGGCATTGGAGGGATGGCATGGTACGAGTACTGTATGGGAAGGATGCTCGAGTACGGTACCGTAGTCTAAGACGTATCGAAACCTTAACCGAAAAGAAAAAAGGAAAAAAGGAAAAAAGGAAGAAAAAAAACCGCGTCAACCGGAATTCACAGCTCCGAGAGTCACCAGTTTTTTTTTAACTCACTAACTAGGGTATGGACGTGATTGGACAGTAAGGGATTAAAGGTGTCAAAACTTCTTGCTTGTTTGAGCGATTGCCATGCCAAATTAACTCTCCTATTTCCTATGAGGGTATCATAGTATCATACTCGAGTAAGTTCGGGCTTCCGGAATCCCCTGGGTGGAGGATCATTCACGTCCATATCCGAGCAGTTTGCCCTCATCACTAAAAAGCCCTGTCTTGGAAGTTGGAACATCACCCACTTTCGCTTCCTCGTTCCCCCCTTAATTGGGAGATTTGTGACAATTTCACTCTCTTTAAAGCTCACGGACTTCCTTCCTTCTATTCCCTTGTCTCTTTCCTTTGGCTGTCGGAGCAACAACGCTTTCTTCTTCACCACCTGTTTACTCATTTATTCATTTGCCTGATTCACGCTCGCTCCCGCTGGTGCCTGACGGCAGGTTCGACGATGGATTACATTCTTGGCGTCGCGGATAACCTCTTCTTTGATGCTATCTATGCTACCCTTTTGCCCGCCGGTTCGCTTGCAAGTTGGGCCGGTGCCAATGATACATTGACGGAGGAGTATATGAATCCTCCGATAATTGTTGACGACCCTATCTCTCACTTCTTCGGATTGAGGCCATCTCATCGAGCTTACGAATCCCTGTTCCTGAGAGGGGATTGGCAACGACAGGCCTTCTCGTTGTTTCTCATCACTTGGTGGGTTCCTTTTGCTTGCCTGTTTTTGGTTGTGTTTTTGCCTTGATCGCTTTCAGTGGAAGCTTGCATCATGGAAGTTGAGAGCGCTTGCTGACCGATTGGCATTTTGTAGGATCTTCGGTCTTGTTGTTTACCTTGTTTTTGCCTCACTGTCGTACTTTCTCATCTTCGACAAGGATACCTTCAAGCACCCCAAATTTCTCAAAAACCAGATTCGACAGGAGATGGCCCAAACGATACGCTCATTGCCTATCATGGCTATTTTTACGACCCCTTTCTTCTTGGCTGAGGTTCGTGGCTACTCGAAACTATACGCAGATGTTGAGCTCCATGGAAAGTGGTATTTGTGGTTCCAGTTCCCGCTGTTTTTGATGTTTACCGATTTCTGGATTTACCTCATCCACCGCGGACTTCACCACAAGAGTATCTACAAGACCATTCACAAGCCCCATCACAAATGGATCATGCCTACTCCATTTGCCAGTCACGCGTTCCACCCAATTGATGGATTTTCCCAGAGTATCCCGTACCATGTTTTCCCCTTTATTTTCCCGCTTCACAAGTTCGCCTACATCGGCCTTTTCATCTTCATTAACGTCTGGACTATCATGATTCGTGAGTTGCTCTTGCGATCCCTCCATCTCCGGTCTGAGCTAACCATGTGCAGACGACGGAGAGTATGTTGCAAACTCCCCTATTGTTAACGGTGCCGCATGCCACACCATGCATCACTTATACTTCAACTACAACTATGGCCAATACACCACTCTCTGGGATCGCCTCCTTGGCTCTTACCGCAAGCCCAACATGGAACTTTTCTACAGGGAAACTAAGATGGGCAAGGATGAGTGGGAGAAGCAAGTCAAGGAGATGGAAAAGGTTGTGAAAGAGGTTGAAGGAGATGATACCTTCAGAGAGTATGCTGTCGATGTTTCTCACAAGAAGACTAAATGATTGTGATATCATTGTTTCGAGTCTGATGTATATGTGGCGCCCCGTGGTTCTATTTTTATTTCTCTTTTTAGATTAGATGGTGGTGAAACCAGTGGGAAGTCAAAGTATTATATCCTTGATTTTCTATGTTTTGTTTCGATTTCTTTTGTTCATTCGCCATTATTGGCGACTGGTAGGGGAAATGACTATAAGCAGAGTTTTCTTTTCCTTTTTCTTTTCTTTTCACTTTGTTTCTACTTCTGGGGAGGGGATTTGGGCGCATATCATACATCTCTTGTAATTGGCGTGTGGATGAGTTTGGCTAGCACATAAGTTAGTGATTGAGGGTCTTTGGGCTCCTTTTGTCCGCTGTGCTGTGCTCTTTGATTCTTCTGCTGTTGTGGGATGTTATCTTTTCCCGCTTTCTGTTTTATACTTTAGGAGATGGCGAAATTGGCAAATGTCCGATGGATGTTCATAGCTTGTGTCTACTGGTAGCGGCTACATTACTCCCATCCTAAGTACGATGCATACCCACACCTCGTAACTATACACCAAACCTACAAAGTGAAACTAAGGAATAGCAAGCACAATTCCATCCCCCCAATTCACTTCCCGTGGTTCTCCCCTCTCAGTCACCCCATCTTAACATCTCCATCCCCCTCCAAATCCCCACTCAACAGCCCCACCAACTCCTTCGCCCCCTTCCACAACTCCCCCTCCATCTCCCGGCCGACAACGTCATTCCTTGAATTGAAAGCCCCAACATCGATCCCACCTCCGCTCCCCTTCCCCTCCTTCTCGCCTCCGTTTCCGGTTACAGGGGCTGGTATATCAGCCTGCTCTAGCAGCAGGATTTGACGCCGCAATCGGACCACGATGGATTGTAGCAACGCGTGGTATTGGCCCGAGGCGCTGGCGAAGGCGCTGGCGGAGGCCGGCGTCGAGGTTAAGGTTGTGATTGCAGTTGAAGCGGTGGAAAGGAGGGTTGAGATGTCCTATCGTATTACAGAGGTTGGTCAGCCGGGAGGGAGGGGGGAGAGAAGGAAGGAAGGAAGGAAGGCTACTTTGTCGATGGCGTTGAGCTCCAGGATCCGGGTTTTCGTGTTTGATTGGGGAGACATTTTTGCTTTCTTCGTTTTGGGGTTGTGTTGGTGGGTATGGGTAGTAGTAGTATGATAGCTCGATCGCAAACCGAATTATCGGGTTGGTTTTTTGGTTGTTTCGTTTCTTGAGAGCTTCGAACTGTTGTACGAAGGGGGTAGGGGAAAGTCTGGCAAACGTGGCGGTGCATGTGAAAGTGACGTTATCCCTTCGTCTGTATTCAGGACCTCCGCTTAATGCCTCCTAGTGCGCATTGTAGCTGAAGGTGGAATGGTAGTGACAAGGTTGGTGGCGGTTGACATCAACGGGTGCCACTTGGTGGGTGCGGGGAAATCACTAGAGAGATCACTGAATTACCACAAACCATCCGGATCATCATCCCAGATGAGTGCAATCTGTGAGTTTCAATATTTTCTCATTGCCTAAGTGCAGCATTGACTGAATATACAAAGGAAAATGCCTTTAACGAGCAGTGGACCTTCCACCCAGGAGGGAAGATCGGCTATCCGGGAATCATCCACCAACACCAGCCGCAGGCAAACCAGTACCAAATACCATAACCATAACACGATTCTCAATGAGCTTGATCCAGCTCCCGGAAGAGTACCTCTGGATATTCTTGATGAGTCAGAGGAGATTATATTGGAAGAGGGAGATGAAAGTGAAAATGAGGTTTTCAGTCATGGTAGCAGGGAAGAGGAAGAGGATGATGAGGATTTAGAACCGATCGAGCCACCTGTTTTGTTACAGGAATCGCTTCCAATACCTCCAGCTTTCGAAACATATCGTCATCCAGCACCCGAGCATGGCCGGATAGTTAGGCTACCGGAGGACTTCATTTTACATTATGGAATGACAGGTCCTAGTATTCCAATTGAGGATGCCAGTCAAGAGAGAAGGTCTCGAATAACGCCCAGCTCATTTTTTAAACTCTTCTTTACACCAGAGATCGTTGCAGAAAGAGCCAACCATACCAACTCATGCCGAAATCAAGGGTGCAGGTTTATCGCAAAGCTCCGGAGGCCGAAAATGGAGGAAAACTACCGCAGGGGAGGTGATGATTTTTGTGGGATTATTTATCTACATGGGTGCCCATAAGGCTATGCGAGCTCCTCTCTACTGGAATAAAAATGCTGAATTCCCATGCCATGAGATCTCACACTATATGTTACAATATTGGTTTGAACAACTAAAGCGGTACTTTCATATATTACCAGTGAATCCTGATCTGCCTCGCCAGCTCGGTGCGAGTAGGCCCAGAAGCTTCAGCCTCTTGCCTCTCAGTTAGAAAGCAACTTTCAGCAATATATTATACCCGCCTCAAATATATCAGTTGATAAAATGGTAGTCCGCTTTACTGGTCCCTCTTGTCATACCGTGATGATAAGAGCTAAACCTATTCCTTAAGGGTATAAAATGCTAGCTTTGTGTGAAAGAGGATATATATTTTCTTTTCTTTTTACCTCTCAGGTTAATAAATTCCAGTATTGTAACGATCCCCTTTAGATAGTTAGTTCTTGGTGACGGAGAACAATACTTCTCTTCTTCTTTAGTTGTACATCAGCACAGAGGCTTATGCCTTCATTACCAATAGTATAAGACTATTGTCTTCTATCTGTAATGTCTATCGTAACCTTTCTCTAACTCTATCTCATATAGAGTCTTCTCATTATAATAGTAATAAAAGTTATGATAGGAATAAAGAGCATAAAAATGATTTATATTCTTTAAAGTAATAAGTAGAAGGAGTTTTTAGAACAAAGTGTGAAGAACCTATCCTCCTCAGCCATACTGGCCTCCTTATATAATGTTCTTCCCACCCAGTCATGTGACTCAAAGTTGTCACATGTGCAAAACTAAATTATAACAAACTAGTCATATGACTAAAGTGGATACATGCTCAAATTCCATAACCTCATAGCAAGGTCAGGTGCGAAAACATATAAACTAATCATAACACAATAAACAAATTGTATGACTGTAATGATTCTACTCCTTGGTACTTAGTTCTTCAACAAGTAATAACCTTACCTCTTCTGTTTCTCTGATACCTTGATAGCTCAGAGAGTTCCTATTGTCACAATCACTTCTGATAGCAAGGATAGTATTGTACTGGCATTACCTTTCGTCAGTGAGACCTCTTTCTCACTTAGCATTGCATAAAGCGTGTGTAAGGTATTGATTCAAATTGTAGTATAGGAAAGAACTTAAGTGGTTATATGAGGAGTCTGTACCAGAGGTCCTTTTTGTTCTGTTTTTTTAAAAAAAAAATTATTTAGTTACTTATTTAAGGTACCAGAACATCTCATATAGTGCTAGCTATAGAGTTAAGAAAATCCCTCCACCCCAGACTAAGAGAAAACCTGTACCTGTAACCGGTACGGGTACTCGGTTATTTCTTTTGTTTTATGTTTTGTTTTAAGTATCGCTTTGATACTTGGTTTGTTTTAAAGTATCGTTTGATACTTGGTTTTGTTTTATGTTTTGTTTTAAGTATCGTTTTGATACTTGGTTTGTTTTAAAGTATCGTTTGATACTTGGTTTTGTTTTATGTTTTGTTTTAAGTATCGTTTTGATACTTGGTTTGTTTTAAAGTATCGTTTGATACTTGGTTTTGTTTTATGTTTTGTTTTAAGTATCGCTTTGATACTTAAGGAGTTTTACCAAAGTGTATCAATTGATACCTTTGAGTAGTTTCGTTCATGCTAGACATGAATAGATTTGTGTATTTAAAGACCGCCTGTTTCTACGATAGAAAAGGCAGACTTCGACAGACAGTATTTCAAATATACTTGGTTGAACGGTTACTTCTTTGTTCCCCAGTACACCCTCGAAGCCTCCTTTAGTTCTCAGCTCTCGCCTCCTCTCTGGAAGAGCAGGCCACCTGCCAACTATCGTATCTATTACCGATAACGTGATTAGCACCTTGTGAACACGTTACATTTTTTTAACCTCAGCAAGTGGTTAAGAATCTGTCTCCGGATTTAGGCCTGATCAACCTATCGATATCCACCTCAGAACGCTAGCGGAGAGAAGCGGCAGAATCACAGTACATTCGGCTTCATCTCAAACCCAAGATTGAGTCCTTGACGACCAGGAGTGGGAAGCAAATCCCACGGCAAGACCTTACAAAAAAGAAACAACCCCGGCGCTCTGCTAAAGAGCCGGGCGATCCTGCAAATACGGAAGATACACAACCTCCAGGAGAATTCCCTTCTACCCCGGCAAAAAAACCTTCCTTTGAACCTCCAAACGACTCCGAATCTAGTAGTGAATCAGATATGGCTAGCACAGGAGGAGGGCCTTCTGGAGGAGGGAAATCTCAGGCAAGGCCTGAAGAAGAGGAGGTACCCGCAGCATTTGAACCTCCTAAGTTTAAACTTCACCTCCCAGCGAAGTTCACAGGTGAAGGGAAAGACCTCAAACCTGAAGCTTTTGAACGATGGGCCACAGAACTTTCACACTTCCTACTCTTACAAGGAAAAGATGTGGAAGACCCTACAACCGGACTTATCATTGGATCATTCTGCGAAGGAAAGGCAACCGACGCATACCACCAATGCTATAAGGATTTCGGCGGGAATATAAGATTAAGAGGATCTACAGTTCTCGATTACCTGAAAGGACGATTCCAATCCTCTATAACCAACGACCTCCTATACAACAAATTCAATCAGCTCCAGCAAGTTAACGGAATGCATGTCAAGCGAATCACCGATGTGGCTACGGACCTAATAATGTATAAGGACCGGATGGAGAGAGGAAGTATCTCCAAATACATCCTGAAGCGACGATTCTATGACACCATGCACCCTACTCTCCGGCGAGAAGTAGAACCGCTTGAGGAAGATGGCAATGATATTGCAATAATAATTGCAAGAGCAGAACAAAAGGACGCCATTCTCCATGAGACCAAGGCCTACAAAACACAGACACCCTCTAGTAGGAACAGCCAGCCACGACACAAAGCCTCTAGCTATTCTGAAGACGATACCCCGCGGGTTTTCAAAAAGAAAACAAAATCCTCCAAAGAATCAAGACTGCAAAAAGGAGAATGTTTTGAATGTGGAAAAACAGGACACATGGCAAAGAACTGTCCTACGAAGAAAGGAAAAGGAAAGGCAATTAAGCAAGAGGTGTCGGCCAACAATGTTGAAAGCGATAACGCCCGATCTAGTGAATATGAAGAGATCCATATCGGATATATCGATGTGGAATGCAACAGTGTTCGACCTCCAGCAACATTCAAAGCACACACCGCTCTGGAAGGTACTATGCTGATCAAAGGAAAAAGGGCACGAGTCCTATTCGACACTGGCGCAATCGGAAGAGATATGATCAGTAATGCCTTTGTCTCTGTCCATGGACTCCCCACTCGAGACCTTAACCAACCCATACCAGTCAATATGGCAGTAAAAGGATCACGATCCACCAGCCATAAAACCTGTAGCGCGACCATTCGACTTGGTTCTGCAGTCCTACCCCCCCAGGAAATGCTGGTTGGAAATTTAGCCAAATACGATGCCCTAATAGGCATGCCATTCCTGAATCGCCACAAAGCTATAATCTGGTGTGGGGAATCAACTATCGATTTCCCAGATCAGAAGGTCACAGTCTCATGCAAGCCAACAAGTGGAGAATACCGAGCCGCAGTCTGTGAAACAACTGCCCTACGACTATTGGATGAGTACTCTGATGTTTTCCCTGATCAAATACCCGAAGAACTACCGCATATGAGAGAGGTGAATCACCACATCCGCCTCCGAGACCCCTCCAATCTCAAGAACCAACCCACCTACTCTATTCCTGACGCATACAAATGCCCACTTGGTGATTGGATGAACCAACAACAAAAAAGAGGAGTCATATACCGGGCAGAAGCTCCAGGTGCCGCTCCTATGTTTGTTCAACCCAAAGCAGATGGCAAAAGAATCCGCCCCTTGGTTGATCTCAAACTACGGAACGAAAACATGGTTATGGACAGCTCGGCTATCCCAAACCAAACCCATATCCTAAATGCAGTTGGACGGGCTAGATTCCGAAGTAAGATTGACCTAAGCGATGCCTACTTCCAAACAAGGTTAGATCCAGAAAGCGAACGCTACAACAGTTT